TGCACTGTTTACAAAAAAGCACAAAGACTGATAGCATTCATTAATATTTATAATAAGCCATTTGAATAACATCAAAATTTAAGCAAGTTCGAATAAAACATGTTTGTAATTTGGAGGGTTTTAAATATAATTTTTCATTGATCAGAAAACTTATTTTTCTAGACGTTATGAAAATCAACAAGCCTGAAAAAACTGTTTTATTTAAAAATGCTTTTATTCGTGATTAAAACTCACCAATTATTATTGAAAATTGTCAATAAAAAGTGTACTATTATAATTTAATAAAATTTTAATAGATTTCTATTAATTGATTCTATGTTAGATCGAGTGCATGCAAAAAGCTGTTCGTGTGACTTTTGTCGGATTAAAATGTGACACATGTTGTAGCAGTTCCTCCTAATTACAAGAGATGGCTTTACTATATCTATTCTAAACATGTCTCTTCACTATCGTTTTGATTAATCCTTCAGAAATACAATAAGGAAATAGTTCAAATAATTAGAATGAGATCTTATTGATAGGCGGCCTATGATCGAATATCTAGGTCTGTCGGGCGGTCTGTCGGAGGGATTCACCTTTGTGCCCTATATACTTCAACACCCCTTTTAGATCATTTTTCACAAAGTTTGTCAATCGATATCTGATCGACTATATTGAAAAATATATTACATTTATAAATTAATAGATTTATTCATAAGTGTTTTTTTAGTAAACAATACGTAAAATTAACATGATGTTATTGAGACAAATAACAGAATGAAATGGTGATATATTTTTAAGATATAAATAGGCTTGCGAAGGTGAAAATAACTTCAAAAAACACTATTCAATTATGAATTATTTTTATGCATTAAAGATGAATTGATTTTACTAAACTTGTAATGGACGAAAGATTCATCGTAGAATTCTATACAATAGAGGGTAACTTACTAAATTAGTGCATGTTTCTTTCTTTGTAAAGCAAGACTTTTTTGGAACAATAAGATCATGCACAACTTTCTAAAGCCGTATTTTGTTCTGTTTTTTTTCTCAAAGGGCATTTCTATCATTAAAACGATGTGGGTTTCCTTATGACACATTTAACGCTCCTTATGGTGAATTATCCATTCTGAGTAATAATTACTAGCACACTAATCATATTAATGACCTGTCAACATATGATAAACAAAGTCTCAATATTTTAAGAATAGAAATACTTGTTGAAAAGAAATAGAGCAATATGCAGCTTTAGAAAGATGTGCATGACCTTGTTGCTCAAAAAAGTCATGCTCTACAAAGAAAGAAACATGTATTAGTTAACTAAATTACACTGTTTTATGTAGAATTATACAGCGAATCTTTTGAAAAAAATAAAGTCTAGACGATTAAAAGTGACCGAAATATCAAGAAAATAGTGATGGATCATTTATTCTATCGCACTCGTTACATGTTTATTATTTCATTGGCTACACACTTCATTAAACAATTAAAAATCATTGTTGTGTTGATCTATAGAAATTCAGTTGTTATATACTTGTCATGGACAACCAAACATATGAAAATTGATATAAACCCTTCAGAAATTTGATCGTGACAATTTGTTGTTAAGATTTGGTTTCTTATAATTTTGTCGATAGAATCAGAGTTCACTCCTTTATATAAAATTCATTACTCACTGATGTAG